GACGGAATCTAGCTGCGAAGGGAAGGGATAGAGACACTTTACTGTATTAAGCGAAAAACAGTTCACAAACATGTTGACCCCTATTAGGGGGTTTGTAGGAGGGCTGCCAATGATTTGTAGGTTTCAGGTTCCGTAAAGCGTCATGATTACTGCCGACTGCTGATGTTATTCCTTTATTTTACGTTCAGTCTTAGGTACGCAGAGACATTTGACAAACGTAAATTGATTGGAATAGTAGAGAACGAACTAGCGTGTGTGGTACACGGGTGACTCAGTTCAATGATCTTTATTTATTTATTTATTACAATCATCCATAAAGACTACCATACACACAAACCGATCATTAGGTTATACTCTAATACATGCGTATAGCATACCCACACGGGAGTACAAGCAATCGTACGCCTATCCATACCATCGCGTGCACAAAAACATGTGCGCATGTGCATTCATTGGTTTATGCTGGTAGACATCCAGTAGAAGAACTAGAGAGACGAGTTTCTCCACATTGTGGTACGGTTGCTGGTCGATTACTCCGGAGGAGCACCGGTTTCATTCTTATGATCTTTTTTGTGGTACTATCCTTTCTACTATTTACTATCCTTAGACACTACTTCGGATTCAAGTTCTCACATGCTGTAGGGTGGAATTATATTCATGTAAAGCTAAATCAGATAGAGGCCAGTCGCGGAGTGTTTGTACAGCCGTTATAGCATCACTCTGGAGGGGGTATTTAACTTCATTATCAGTCACCTTAGTGGGATAGAAGAAATAAAAAGATTGGGAGACAGGAGTTTACTTCGGAGTCGGTCACCCCACGGTTGAGAGAGGTTTGGCTTACTGGCAACACCCTTTATCTAGGACGGGGAACTTCCCTTTTAGTATTGCACTCAGGGTTGAACTGGTATTAAACCACATATATGTATATACGTCATTTAGGGGCAGCATAGTGGGTGCATTGCTGTTCTCCCATGTGAACCACTCTTTATGTTTCATCCTCTGTTTGAAGGGCTGGTTAGCTACCGAGGGCCACCATTGACTTCTGCTACACGTATGATTTGGGGTGTTGCATTTTACTGTACCAACCCTTGGAGACGTCGTCGCCTAACCCTCTTCTTTGGGGGTGCGTTGGACCCCTTCAGTTTGTCCGGTTGAATTGGTTAGTAAAAATGTGGAGAAACGGGAAGTAAAAGGGAAGTGACATAGAACAGCTGGTTGGATTCCAGGTGGGTGGGAAGGTCGAGAGATATGGGAGGCCAGTGAAAATATCATTAGCATGTAAAACTCATCTCTGATCCTTTCTGAAGCGATAATTCCAGATATTCAGCCACCTGCATTTAATTAACTGATCCTCAGTGTTTGTCCTACCCAGTTCCGTCTTTGCCGGTTCTTAGTAGTCTTGTCTTTGCGGTTGCCTTGTGTTCCAACAGTTACCTGTCAGATCACTCAGTGACATCCAAACAGTTACCAGTAAGCCATTGTATGCACATGAGTCGGCATGCATGCCTCCATCATAAATCGTAATCAGCCACAAATATCTTTAATTGATTATCCCGACCACCCCCATATCCACATGTCTAGTTACTGCTTCCTAATGGTGCTTCAGGAAACACCGCCAACCAGCAAATAGAGAGCCTATGTTTGAAGACTATGACGTTAGTCTCTGCAACCTCTTCATCGGGCAATTGATTTCATGGGTTCACCACTCGGTTAGTGAAAAAACGAGCGCGGGTCTGCAGTCTAGATCTGCCTATCGCCAACATATAGTGGTGGTGCCTAATGTTTCTATTTTCGTTCAAAGTTCGTACTGATCCCTCTGGGTTAGAGATACCCTTCAAGCACTTGAAGGTCTCAGTCAGGTCCCCTTGAATCGCTGTCTCTCCAAGAAAATCAGATTGAGGCTTTTCAGGCCAATATGATTATCCATACAACGGAGGTGATCAAATCATCTGGCTAACCTTCGCTGAACTCTTTTCAGTACTACTCTGTTTCTCACGAGGTACGGTGACCCGTCCTGGACGCAGTGCTGTAAGTAAGGACGAATGTAGGATTTATAAAGTGGTATGAGAACCACTGGATTCCGGGAGGCCACCGTTCTTTG